CGAAGCTCAGACTCTGATACAGAATCGGAAACGTTGCAAGCTCCGTCTGATGCTTCTGCCTCCGCGACCCGAAAGGAGAAGCGGCTATGGAAGATGAAGATGAAGATACCAAAATTTCTTCACCTACTACAATCATATTCAACAGGGAAATGAGTTGTTATAAATAAAGCCTTTGATAAAATAATCATTCCGAGATTTTCTACATCTGACAGGTGAACTACCAATATGTAGAGTTCATCGACTTCCTAGTACTCGTATAAGTATGCAACAGTATATTGCTTTTCTGTGTTTTCGACAGTACGCGCGAAGACGAACTGTAAATACCATAATTAGGCTAAAAGCTCCGTCAAAACTGTCTTAATCTGCTTATGCTAAAAGGTTTGTACCGCATTTCATTTTCTGTTTGTTACCGAAATTCACAAAGTTCGATGATGCCAGCGAGGGTGGATTCGAAACGATCGACTTCTAAGGAGAATGAAGAAAATGGTAAAGCTTTTCGTTTGGCCGGTCATGTTTCTTTCGTGATGCTGATTGAATTACAGTTATTCCATTTTAACTCGACTCTTCGCTCCTGGGATATATTTGAGGTGGTCTTAAAGTTTCCTTTCATGAAAGCTTTCGAATATAAACTTTCTGCTGTTGGAGTAGACCTAATGCTTTGCGTTTTGCCGACACGTGTTTTATGCAATGTGTCTAATGTTGTGTTATCATCGTCCTGTAACTAAGAGGAAAGTACCCTAGGCTGGTGATGTCTGACCGTGTAAGATACTGTCTCAAAACGGTTTATTCTGCATATATTTTCTTTGGGCAAGTTAGAATTTGTTTAGAAGGTCGAACCGCCGCATGGCTGCAAATGCAAACAGCTGGTTTCACAGATGTTGAAATTGGCACAAGGCGCAACGAAATCGCGACACTACGACAAGAGACTGTTGTGATGTGTCGCTATTGTTGTTGCCTAAAACTAAGCAGTAATGCTTATATTAATTATGTGTGACCCGCTTGAAGTTGTGTTTGGCATTTTAATTCGTCGTTAAAGTTTGTGGCAGCGCATTTTAGTATAGTTTAGTATCGTTTCCTTTAAGTTAGATGTTATCCGGCGATATATTCAGACATACATCGAAAATAGTAAACAGTGCAAAAAAATGTTACGTTATTGGTAGAACAACAAGTCTAGCCGAATTTGGCTACCTCTTATGGTATAAAGTGTTGTTTAATAGACCGCAAGAAATTCCGTATAAGAAGCAACACCTAGTAAGTTTCAAGGAAGATAGTATCGACGTACCTCTGACGAATATTTCACAGACCTTTCTCAGGATGATTAGAATGGTTGGTCTTTCGCCATTACTCTCGGCTTTCTTCACATCTTGTGATATTTGTGTCTTATATACATTCGGGGTCTTGTTAGGCTACCGGTTTTTCTGCATTTATAATTTAAAGCTAACGCTTGACCGCGTTTGCATTAAAGTGTGAAAAATCAAATGCTTTCATGGTGATTATGATATAGCGATGTCGTTTCCGACCTCTGTGGTTAAACACAGTTTCCAGAACGAAGTATCCTCTTTGCTACAAGGTAAACAGTCTTGACCCTGACTCTTTTCCTTAAGCTTAAGATACTTCCCACCCATTGCCGTTTCTAAAATTGGGGACGTCAAGCTATTGGAAACGAATCATTAAAATATCAAACTTATGTTATAGTTTGTTTATGCTCGACATCGCCATCGACTTTCCAGGCAAAGGCTACGCTACCTTGTTCCAGCTGGCCACCTTCGTACTCGTTGTTGAGAACAACTACTTCAAGAAACCAGATTCTGCCGTTTTTTCGAGTTATTGGTTCTAATGCGATTAAGTTTCCGAATACCCACACAGCTTGTTGTGCCAAGAGAAAAATTTACGTGATTCGAGGCAGCATTCACGAAAAGTAACAGGTAGTTAGGAGAAACAGAC